GTCTGTCTGTCTTTGTCTCTCTCTGCCTCTGTCTTTGTCTCTCTGTCTGTCTGTCTCTGTCTCTCTCCTCTCTGCCTCTGGCTGTCTCTTTGTCTTTGTCTCTCTCTGGCTGCCTCTGTCTCTCTCTTTCTGCCTCTGGCTGTCTCTTTGTCTCTCTTTGTCTCTGTTTCTGTCTTTGCCTCTCTCTCTCTGCCTGTCATTTATCTCTCTCTGCGTCTGTCTCTCTCTCTCTCTCTCTCTCTCTCTCTCTCTCTCCCTGCCTCTGTCTTTGTCTCTCTCTGCCTCTGCCTGTCTGTGTCTCTCTTTCTCTGCCTCTGTCTGTCTCTTTGTCTCTCTCTCTCTGTTTCTGTCTGTCTTTGCCTCTCTCTCTGCTGTCATTTATCTGTCTCTGCATCTGTCTGTCTTTGTCTCTCTCTGCCTCTGTCTTTGTCTCTCTGTCTGTCTGTCTCTGTCTCTCTCTCTACCTCTGGCTGTCTCTTTGTCTCTCTTTCTCTCTGTTTCTGTCTTTGCCTCTCTCTCTCTCTGCCTGTCATTTATCTCTCTCTGCCTCTGTCTTTGTCTCTCTCTGCCTCTGCCTGTCTGTCTCTCTCTTTCTCTGCCTCTGTCTGTCTCTTTGTCTCTCTCTCTCTGGCTGCTGCCTCTTTGCCCTCCCCTGGTTCACTCCTCTCAGCTAATCTCTTTCCCTCCATCCCATCTCCCTCAACCCGGAAGCTCCTGGCAGAGGAGAAGGCGGCTGTCCTGCGGGCGGTGGAGGAGCGGGAACGGGTTGAGGCCGAAGGCCGAGAACGCGAGGCTCGGGCCCTGGCGCTGACCCAGGCCCTAGCGGAGGAGCAGAAGGCGCGTGAGGAGCTGGAGCGGCAGAACCGGGCACTGCGGGCCGAGATGGAGGAGTTGCTCAGCAGCAAGGATGACGTCGGCAAGAGCGTGAGTGGAAGGAACGGTGCGGCCCGTGGGGCCAGCTCAGAGGGCGGCAGTGTACACCCTCCCACGGGCCCCTCCGAGGGCACAGCCTTGCAAAGCCCGTGGAGCAGTTCTAGTCTGTGCACGTCGGGGTCGCCCTAGGAATGTGAGCAGGGCACCTGCTCCTCAACACACATGTGGCTGCCCGTATGCACCCCCGGGACGCTGAAACACACACACACAGACAGCGTGAAGAGTGCCACCGATCAGAGCCACGTGTTCACACACAAACACAAGGAGACCTGCTCCCCAAACAGGAGTCTGTGCACATGTTCACAGTGTGAGGGGACTCTCCCGTCAAACACGCATGTTCGTGCAGACACGCAACATGAGAGCGTTCCCCAAACACACATGCACGTGCACACAAACAGGAAGGGAATTTTCCATCAGACGTGTGCCCATGCACACAGAGTGTTTGGGGTTTGGATTTACACTGCCCTGGAAGGTCTGGGAACCCCAACGCTGAGAAAAAAAAGGAGAAATAAGGAGATGTGAATTGGCGATATTTTATGGAGTCTGGCACAAACCAGCAATGATCCGTTTTGGAGCTGCGTGCCTTCAGCTCACTTCCCACAGGATTCCCAAAGGTGGCAGCTCTGGTGGTGTGAGCTGTCAGTTGCAGAATTACAGAGCCCATGGGGCAGCAGTCCACCACGAGGAGAACCAGCTGACCCAACAGACACTTCACACTGACTCTCAGCAGCTTCACGTAATAGAATCACACGCACAGATTATGAAATAGTTCAGGGTGGTTCAGAATAAGACACGTGGTGCTTAGTAGATGCTGAATGAATAGACAGGTGAATGAATGAATGAATGAATGAAGGATCAGACTAGATTATCACTTCAACTTGTTGCCTCCCCCTCCTCCGTCCGTGCAGGACCCTGGCCTGCCCCTCCCTCAGTGACCAGGTGCCCAGCGCTCACTCTCCCTCCCCACCAGGTACATGAGCTGGAACGGGCCCGCCGGGTGGCAGAACAGGCAGCCAGCGACCTGCGGACGCAGGTGACAGAGTTGGAGGACGAGCTGACGGCCGCCGAGGACGCCAAGCTGCGCCTGGAGGTGACGGTACAGGCTCTCAAGGCCCAGCACGAGCGGGACCTGCAGGGCCGCGACGAGGCCGGCGAGGAGAGACGTCGGCAGCTGGCCAAGCAGGTACAGGCCCGGGGCGTGGCCTGGGGCCGGCATCTGCAGGAGGGGCCGGAGGCCTCAGCCGTCCACCTGCTACTTGGTGTTGCCACCAAAGAGCCTCCTGCCAGGAAGGCCATCTTTCTGCTCATCTGCCTGTTACCTTCCCACGCACATACCCTCTCCCCGACCCAGCCATCCACCTGTTGACCTGCCCAATCATCTGTCATCCATCCACCCATCTCCCTTCTTCATCTTCCCAACCAACTTACTACCCGTCCATCTGATCACTCCCTTTGCAGCCAATCCCTCGCCCTTCTGTCCCCATACTTACTCCTGCCCTGTCTCCTCAACCACCACAGCCAGCCATCCATACACCGCTTCTCCTCCAACAGATCTATGTACCCACACAACCACCTGTTTCAGTTACCTAGTGCCGTTCTAACAGAAGATACCACCAGTGGGATGGCTTGAACAAACAGGAGTTTATTCTCTTACAATTTGGAGGCTTTAAGTTCAAGTCCAAAGTGTCAGGCTCTAGGGGCTGGGTGAAAGCCCCTCAACTTTGGGCTTCAGGTCTGCCTCCTGCTCCTGGCCCACTTAAGCTGGAGGCTTTTCTTCACTCAGACAGCTGCTGGCTGCTGAGGCTGACAAGCCAAGGTTGACAAATAAAAAGGCACAGTCCCAATGTTCCCAAACTACATGGCAGGCCATTGATTCAAGTCCATTGAAAGTCCCAAGATCAGCAGAGCATGGCAGGCTGAGGAACAATGACATGGCTACATGCAGGGTCCAAGCGTGCCATAAGCTAGAGACCGTTCCCAAGGCTTCTCCTTATATACAGGAAGCAGACCACATCCCAAAGGCAGCTACTCAGCTGCTCACAGTAGATCCCACCATGGAGTTGATGACCAGTCTCATCATGGGGAATACTATATCCAGCTGCCCAGCCTCTCAACCAGGCCCAGCCACGTTGACACACAAACTTATCACATCATCCCTGAATCCAGCCACTCCTACACCATGCAATGCTTCTACAACTATTCAGCCTTCTCATCCACCCAGCCTCCCCCTCAGCCCACACGACATGAAACCGTGAGCCCGGCCACTCCTCCGACCGCCCAGCGCCCCAGCCGCCTCCCCCAGCTGCCTCCAGTTACCATCCACCAGTGGCACTGCCGCCTTCCAGACCCACACTGCACTCAACCCTGAATCCAGCCACTCTCCTTCCACCAGCCAACCCCCTCCACCCAGCCTCCCTCCCCGGCTTCCCTATCTCGTGTGCCCAGCCCCTCCGAACCCTGCTCAGACCAACCTTCTCTGCTCATGTCAGCTACTCCCCTCTGCACACAGGCCCTCTGCACCCCGACTCCCCCCTGAATCCCGTTACTCACTCAACTGGCTCATTGCCACGCCCTTCACCCCGTCCCTCATCGCATTTCTCAGCCATCCACCCACTCCCTCACGTGTTCCACTTCTCGCCCTCCACTCTGCTCACTCACTGTCCAGTCAGCAGGGGACGGGTGCTCATGGGCTGCACTGGGTGGGCATGGCCCTCTCCTAGGTGATGAGTCCTGAACGTGGAAGGGGCAGGGTCAGCTCCTGAGTGTGAGAAAGACTCCTCTGGGGCCACACGGGCCACGGACTGAAGGCTGTGAGCCTGGGCAGGAGAGCGAAATCGGTGACCTGTGGCCAAGGGCCCCTGGGTGTTTCCATCTCCCCTGGTCCTGTGGACGCAGCCCTGGGTGAGCTGTGGTCTGGGGAGGCTGCGGAGCAGAAAGCAGGAGCTCTGTGCAGACAGACTGCAGTGGACCCGAGTGAGAACAGGCTGAGAGGGGGCGGGGGCGAGGGGAGAGGAGGTGGCTTGAGCTGGGCTGTGTGACCGGGAGGGTGGGGCCTGCAGGGTGGGTATCGCTAGTCCGTGGAGGTAGCTGGGGCATCCTGTCCCTGACCTGGCCCCTCCGGCCTCCTGCCCCAGCTGAGGGACGCCGAGGTGGAGCGGGATGAAGAGCGGAAGCAGAGGGCGCTGGCCGTGGCCGCCCGCAAGAAGCTGGAAGCGGGGCTGGAGGAGCTGAAGGCTCAGACGGCGGCCGCCGGGCAGGGCAAGGAGGAGGCCGTGAAGCAGCTTCGCAAGATGCAGGTGAGGCGGGAACCTCGGCCTCCACCCGGAGACCAGGAGGAACTAGATGGTGCCCGGCCACTGGATCGGGATGGGAGATCTGGGATAGAGTGGCAGCATTCGATGTGGAACAAAATTCAAAATCCTCAAAACGACCAGAATTACCAGTCGGGTGGAGGCTGGTGGAATCTCCAAGACTGTGGTCCTGGGTTACCGACCCTTCGGGCCTGGAACTGGACTTGGTCCTATGGGTTAGCTCTCAGCCAGACAATAGTCAGGCCTGTGAGCTAAACACACCCACCCCAGGGAGGTGTATGCCTTAGAACTGTCAACCCTGAGAGCCCGGAAGGGCAGCATTTGTACAGGGAGAAAGCTAGACAGACAGGAATACGCAGGTAAGAAGGACTCGGGGACGGGTAACCACAGGGAGGTGGGAAGAGAGCTGTTTGTTGTAGGAACTGTAATTGGTGCCGTGAAACAAAATGCACATGAACTGGTGAGTGTGAAACGAATCTGCTTCGTAAACTTGCCCCCAAGTCACAAGCAAAACTGGACGGCGTGGGGGCTTGGGCCAGGCTGGGGAGGGTGGAGCTCGGGGTGTCTCCTCGCCCCCATCAGCTGCGTCCACAGTCACCAACCGCTGTATGAATAGTTTCTGGTGGTACACACGGGCTGTGTTCAGCTACTGACCTGAGAAGGGCCTGCCAGCTGGCTTCCTCCGACTCTTGTTGGGATGTGCTGTTGAGGTGACCTGCAGCCACGGTGTCTAAGGACTTTCCTCCTGAGGTGCCCCTGACTGGGTTAGAACCACCAGCCTTTCAGTCAGCATCTGGCATGTAACAGTTTGCATCACCTGGGAACGCTTCCCAAAGGTGACGGCCAAGAAAACCGTCTGGACAGTTCCACTCTGATACACATGGGGACGCCATGAGTGGGAGTCAGCACCACGGAACCGCGTGCGTGTGCGTGTGGTGTTTTAATGTTTCACTGTGTGTAAGGTGAGCCTTTCACAGCACATAAGGGTCCCATTTCACAACTTCCGCACAGATTCTTCAGGGACACTGGCCGCTGTTTGACCAGGTGTCACCGCTCTCAGAGGCTCCGTTCTGGTTGGACCACTTCCAGCGCTGATTTCCTTCTCATTTCTGCTTTTGAGCAGTTCCTTACCATCTGGTCTCCGATAGTTAATTTGACAATTGGTTTTTATAAGTGAGATACATACACACCCAATTTCAGCAACCTTCATACAAATAAAGGAGCTCTGGGGGCGCAGTGCCTAAGGCACTTGACTGCTAACCAGAAGGTTGGCGGTTCAAACCCAGCAGCCATTCCTCAGAAAGAAGACTGGTCAATCTACTTGCATAGTGATACCGCCTCGGAAACCCAAGGAGGGGTCGCTATGAGTTGGGTCCGACTCAACGGCAAACAACAAATACGAACAGAAGAGTGTGCACTCTCTTGTTAATCATTTTAATGTCGATTAGAAGTTGAAATAAGAATACTCTAGTTAGTATGAGATTCCACATAGATTCCAACTTGGTTTCACCTGTCTTTTCTTTTTGCTGGTTTGCTTTACTGTTGTGAGTTTTTCTTCTTCTTGTGACTTGGGTGAAAGCTTACAGAGCAGGTTCGTTTCCCACACAGCAGCTCGTGCACATTTCGTTTCATGACATTGACCGCAATGCCCACAGTGCAACAGCTCTTTCCCCACTTCCTCCATGTGGTCACCTCTTCCCTGTGGCCTACTGTCCCGTGCACCCCTGCCCCCCAAGCTGTCTCCCTGTGCAAGCACTGCCCTTCCGATCCCCCACGGTGGATGGGTGCTTTACTGTTTGAGTGGGGCTGCTGTGAGGTGCCGTTGAGCCAGTTCCAGCCCATGGCTCACAGGGACTCATTTGACAGAGTGACTCTGCCCTTTGGGTTGAGATTCCCAGGTCTTTTCCCACAGAGCCACTGGGTGGGTTCAAACCGCCAGCCTTTTGGTTAGCAACCAAGCACTTAACCATTTGTGCCACCAGGCCTCCTGTGCCATCGAGTCGGACCCGACTCACAGCAACCCCTCCTTGGGTTTCCAAGGCGGTATCACTACAGAAGTAGATTGCCCAACCTTCCTTCCAAGGAGTGGCTGGTGGGTTTGAACCGCCAGCCTTCTGGTTAGCAGTCAAGTGCTTTAGGCACTATGCTACCAGACTACTAGAAAATTTAAAACAGCACACATGGCTTATGGTGTATTTCTGTCAGGCAGCGCCTTAGAAAGCTACCCCCAGACGGTGAAAACCGCCTGGCAGCTCCCCATTGACAGAAGGCCGCGGCCCTTCAAAGCTGCAAATGAATAACGGACAATAAACAAAATACTGTCAATAAATGCCAACAAGTAGCAACGTGGGTCAGCCTGTGGGCACTGAGGCAGGCTGACAGTTCAACTCTTGGATGAACTCACTTCCCAGCTGGGTGGTCTGAGGCCCGGGAGTTGGCCTCTGTGCCTCAGTTTCCCCGTCTGTAAGCTGGGGGTGGTCAGAGCCCTTCCTAACTGGAGTTGTGGGTATTGAGGGAGCTGGGGTGTGTAGCCCTTGGACTGTCTGTCAGTTCGCGGCCCTGCGTCACACGGCAAGTGCTCGGGGGCTGGCACCCAGGTCTGCAGGGTTCTGCGAATGCCCTGCTGGTCCATGGGGAGTGAGGAGCCCCTGTGGGGCTGACTGATGCGAGGTTCAGGGGGATCCCTGTGAGGCAGGCCGGGCTGAGCCCACCCCCCATCCCTGTCTGCCCCGCCCAGGCCCAGATGAAGGAGCTGTGGCGGGAAGTGGAGGAGTCACGCACCTCCCGGGAGGAGATCTTTGCCCAGAACCGGGAAAGCGAGAAGCGCCTCAAGGGGCTGGAGGCTGAGGTGCTGCGGCTGCAGGAGGTGAGGCGGGGTGGGCGGGGCCGCGGGAGTGGGCGGGGCCGGCCGCTCGCTGCTGCCTCGGGGGGCCAGCCAATGGATGGGGCGGTGGGCAGGGCCAATCTCACACCTTCCTCGGAGCAGGGGAGCGCCACGGGAGGTCTGTGAGCAGGGGCAGAGGCAGCTTTGAGATTGAACTAAAGCGGCAGCTGGAGGCGGCAGTGGGATTGAGGTCGAGGGTGAGGGGGCGAGGCCTGAGCCAGGGCAGTGGGGGACAGAGGAGGGACAAGCCAGAGAGGGGCAGGGAGACAGGAGGGCTAAGACTGTTGGTGGTAATGGAACAGGAGGGAGTGTGGGGCCCTGGGGCGACAGCTGTCCCCAGGAAGGAGAACCTGTCAGGGGCAGGTTTGGAGGAGACACTGAGTTCAGTGGAAATAAGAGGGTGAAGGGCCAAGGGGTGAGCAGCTGGAGGTGGACATGGGTCAGGGGGCTCAGGAGACGGATTGCAGCACAGCTGCCTGGAGATGAAGTTCAGCCCGAGGTTGCCCAGGGTCAGCCTGCGAGCGTGCAGTGGAGAAGGCCGAGAGAGTTGGGGCGTGAGGGGCAGGGAGGGAGGGAGGACGGTCCCTGGGTGTCCCCCGCATGGACCGCCCATTCTCTGGGGTTGCAGGAACTGGCTGCCTCAGACCGCGCCCGGCGTCAGGCCCAGCAGGAGCGGGACGAGATGGCGGACGAGGTGGCCAGCGGCAACCTGAGCAAGTGAGTGGCCTGTGGGAACTCGGGGGCAGGACACGCTTCTCTGGCTGTCCTGCCTTCTCACCACCCCCGCCCACCCCTCTCCCCAGGGCAGCCATTCTGGAGGAGAAGCGTCAGCTGGAGGGGCGCCTGGGGCAGATGGAGGAGGAGCTAGAGGAGGAGCAGAGCAACGCAGAGTTGCTCAACGACCGTTACCACAAGCTGGTCCTGCAGGTGAGCTTTGCCCGCCAGGCCCGCGCCTGTGAGCCAGGCCCTGTTCACCTGGGACCGTACCCCCTGACCGCTTCACCAACACATATGCAATAGGGGATATTTGAGTTGGGTTTTGAAGGTTGAATACGAGTTCGCAAGAGGAGAAAAAAGGCATGATGCATTTATTCGCTTATCTTTCTCAGACTTCTCAAGGGTTGGATGCAGAGATGAATTTTGTGAGGTCTCTACAGAGATCTGTGCCAACTCCCCTCCAATATGGAGTTCCCCAGGGGACACAGGCCTGTGTTGTCACATTTGTTGTTAGGTGCCAGTGAGTCAATTCCGACTAATGGTGGCCCCGTGTGTGCAGAGTAGAACTAGTCAAAGTGTAATAATTGAAGTATCCTAGGCCCGGGAGAGAGGGAAAGAGGGAGAGAGACTCCCGTGCAGAGAGAGAGGACTCTTTCTACAGGCATCAAAAAAAGGCATGTGGAAGAGGGGCTGTGGGTCTGGGGTTTTAAAGTATCAGCAGGAGCTCAGCAGAGGGAAAAAGGCATGTTTTCATTGGCATGTTTATTTCTAAGTATTTTTTGAGGCTTTCAGAGGCCCAAGTCCTCTCCTGGGTGACTCTGGGGCCCTGGAGATGGAGTGTTGTCGTTTGCTGGTCTCAAGGATATTCTCGTCTGATGAGGAAGACAGACCATCCCAGTGGGGATATGCAAGTGGGAATGGAGGAAGAACAAGGCACTTGGGGCTCACAGAAGGGAGTACTGACTGACTCGATGCTGGGGGCAATCAGGGAAGAGTTCCTGGTAGAGGTAATGCCATGTGTAAGAGTTCTTGTAGGAACCGTAGAAGTTTGCCAGGCAGACAGCAGAGGGATGGGACTTGTAGAGAGAGACCTATGGCCTCGTAATTACCTGAGTTTTGTAAGTCACATCCTCAGAGCGCTCCTGGGCCATGGCCGGCACCGCTAGGGTCCTGGAGAACAGAGGGCTGCCTCAGCCCTTGAGGACCCGCTAGACCAGTGGGAGTGGCAGCCGTAATCCAAGATGTGCAGCTTCCCTCCCGGAGCAAAATCCTGGTTGCCTCCCCGGCCTGACCCCAGGCTCACTCGCTCACCTCCTCGGGGCTCCTCTTGCCCCCAGCTCACGCGGCTGCAGCCACACCGGCCTCCTCACAGTTCCTTGACTTCACCAAGGTTGTTCGCACCCCTGGACCTTTGCACGTGCCGGAAAGGTCCTCCCCGGCCCGTGACATGTCTCTCTCCCTCCGAATGGCCTTCCCTGCCCACTCTTGTGTGAAGCAGCCACCATCCCTGCCGTCTTTCTTGCTTTTCCCTCTGCCTTAACCTTTGTTTGCTATCATTTCCCTCCGCCTGGAATTGCATGACTAGTGTGTCACATCCCCGGGTGGTGTGGATGTGGTTCACGGTTGGCTCCGAACTGAAATGTTGGTGACTCAAGTCCACCAGAGGGACCACGGAAGAAATGGCTGCCAGGCTGCTTCTGGAAAATCGTCCTGGAAAACGCTCGGGAGCACAGCTCCCTGGGACACGGGGTCGTCGGGAGTCGAAGTCGACTCCAGTGATGGCTGATTAACTGGTTTAATCCTGGTGTTGGTTCAAAAAAGCATTCTCAAACAAACAAACTCACTGTTGTCCAGTCGGACCCGACTCATGGCGACCCCTCCTTGGGTTTCCGAGGTGGTATCTTTACAGAAGTAGATTGCCCAACCTTCCTTCCGAGGAGTGGCTGGTGGGTTTGAACCGCCAGCCTTCTGGTTAGCAGTCAGGTGCCTTAGGCTGCACCGCCAGAACTCCTTTAAAAAAAAAAAAAAAAGGCATACACTGGCCTGCAGCACATAATGGCCATCGGGCATGTATGTCCTTGGGATGGGGAGGAAGTGCTTGTTTAGAAAGGCACCGGGAGAGGGCGCCACCGACCTTGAGCCATAGCACAGCTTGCAGCCCTACCCCCCAACTCCGTGACTGCCACCGGCGCATGCCAGCTGTGGCCACTCTCCTCCGTCCCTCTGTCCCTCCGTTCCTCCCTTGGGACTCCTGACTGGGTGTCTCAGAGCCGCTTGCAGACCTCTGCACACCCACAGGCAGCCAGCTAGAGGTGCAAGTTTGCAAACCCGAGACTCCAGGTGCAAATGGACAGCCAGAGCAGCTGCACGGGGCACCCCTTGATGTATGAGTGTCAAGTGTACACGGACACACGTCTGACACATAACACACGTGCACAGTCTCGTGTAACATCCCGTCCCACAGGACACATGGTGGCCGTTAAGCGACGCAGGCATGTGTCTGCTCGTCTCTGTTAAGTCTTTTCAGTCTGCAGTCTCCCGTCTCTCCTCGTCCCCTTTATTTCCCTCGGTTCATCTGCTGAGGAGCTGGGGGCTCTTGGGCCTGTCAGATCCCTCTCCATCTGGATTGTCCTGAGGACACACCGCGGTGTAACTCGGCACGTCCCGTGCACAAGTCACTCGTTCTCTTGCTGTCCTCTTTGTTCCGTTTGTTGCCGAGTTGATTGCGACTCCCGGCCCGGCGTGTGCACAGGGGAGCTGCTCTGTCAGGGGTTCAAGTTCGTGACCTTTCGGAAGCTGATCACCAGCCCCCTCTCCCGGGACCCCTCTGAGTGGATTTGAACCCCCAGCCTTTTGCTAGTCATCAGCACTTCCTTGACCTCTCGTACCACCCGGGGGCTCCACTGTCTACAGGCCTGTTATTTTGCATCTTAACTCTGGTCTTCCTTTTTCCCCCCTTACACTAACCTTGTATGAGTTGGACCTAAGACCTCTTTTCCCCTGCCACTTCTGGTAAAGTCCTTGTCCTGGGCAGAGCAGTTTGCCTTTTATTAACTCAGTAAGCCTTATGTTTGACTGGTTTGACTCTGCCACTGTTTTATTTTACAACAAAAAGTTATTAAAAAAACAAAAACAGGAATACTGTCCTCACTCCTTTGATGTGTTCCTGGGAGGAGGAAAGGAAACAAAGTCCAAATGTGACGGGGTCGGACTCACTTCCGCGTCCCCAGCACGGGGCCTTGCCCAGAGTACAACGAGCTGAATAAACAAACAGGAGCTATTATTAGGGGTGTGTTGACACAGTCCACGGAGTAGCTGCTGTTTATGGAGCCGAAGCATCTCAGAATGATCCACGTGCCACTCACAGCGGAACCACCTTAGATGCTTGTTAACGGAGATTCACGGACCCTGCCCCAGACCTGCTGGATGAGAATCCCTGGAGCGTGGGGCCCTGGAGTCTGCATTTTTGTCACGAGCTCCCCAGATGACCCTGGTGCAAACCAAGTGTGATAGCCCTCGGAACAGACTCGTTCACAGTCAGAAGTAGCATTTATAGCCTGTCAACCACAGTCTTGTGATATTCTTGTGAATCGATTAAAATAGCGAAAAAGCATTGCCAAAAGATTAAAACACAGTGCTGGCAGTGATGTTGACAGATAAATCCATCGCTACAAAGAAAAGTTAACAGTTGGTGAACATTAGTATGCATCAGGCTCTGTCTTCTGAACTTAGCATTTGTCAACTCACTTCATCCTGGGAGGTCTCTGGGTTTAACGACCACCTTTTCTCCGGACGCCACCGCGCATCCTGCCTTTCTCACTTACGACAGGTGGAGGCACTGACCGCAGAGCTGTCGGCTGAACGCAGTTTCTCAGCCAAGGCAGAAAGTGGGCGGCAGCAGCTGGAGAGACAGATCCAGGAGCTCCGAGGGCGCCTGGGCGAGGAGGACGCCGGGGCCCGGGCCCGTCAGAAGATGATGATCGCCGCGCTCGAGTCTAAGCTGGCCCAGGCTGAGGAGCAGCTGGAACAGGAGAGCAGGTAGGTGGGAGGGGAGCTGCGTCACAGGTGCTTGGTTTGGAAACAGAAATGGCATCATGATACTAGTATCTGCTGACTCCTGTGTCATTTACACATGTGGGGTGTATTACATACCATTCCCACCAACAGCCTGCCTTCTCTATTACCCTACACAGGGCGTGGGGTCAAGAACAGCCAAACACATGGGTTGGGTTGGTTAAGTCCCATCTTTTGTATAAGCCCAGTACTCTAGGCTGCCAGTAACCGTACCACTACTAAGAATATGATTTAGACATATGTATCAGTTAGCTGTAGCTGCTTAACAAACAGTCCTAAAACTTAGTGACTTCAACAACGTTTTATTATTGCTCATGAGTCACCGGCCTCGGTGGTAAGTTCTGCTGATCTGAGCTTGTTGAGGCTGTCACATATCTAAGGCCTTGCCTGGAACAGGCCGACTGATCTCTGCTCCACGTAGTGAGCCTTCAGTAGAGTTAGCGTTCCAGGAGTGAGGGAGAGCGTTAGAGGCTTCACGAGGTCTAACCTTGGGACTAGCATAGTGTCACTGCTGCTGCGTCCTGTTGGCCAACCCAGATTCAGGGGAGTGGAAACTTAGATTGAGTCCACGTCATGATGGGAACATGCAAAATCCCATTGCAAACAGCATGGATACAGGAAGGGCTAAGAACTGAGGGCCTTTTTGCCAACAATCTGTCTCAAAAAGAAATTTTTTCTCATGTAGTAAGTCTGGAGCTGGGCAGCTGAAAGACAGCAGGGCTCTGGGTCATAGTCTGTTTCTTGATCTTTCCTTCTGCAAAAAGGGCAAGGAGGCCACATCTTCTGACCTCCTCTAATCCCACAAGAGGAAGACAGAATCACCATCAATAACCCAAGGCCTATTACTGCGAGGCCAGACATGCTGCCTCTCTCCAGCCCTTTCACCAACCGTTCCTCCCAAAGCACCCACCACCTCTCTCCTGGGTTCGATAATTCACTGCAGTGGCCACACAGAACTCACAGATTATGAGGTTTATTAGGGAAGCACCAGGCTACAATTTGAGTTCAAGAAAAACGCTCAGTCTCTCTCCCAGCCCACCGTCTCTCAGCCAAGTCTCTCACAGTCTCTCCCCCAGCAGTGTGTGTCCCTCGGTGTCTTACTCAGCAACATGTGTCTCTTGCGTCTCTTTCCCAGCAGCACGTGTCTCTTTCAGGAGCACGTGTCTCTTTCTGCAGCACGTCTTCCTCAACCAGCAGTCAGAGAGAGTTCTGCCTCCAGGAGGCCTCCTTTTGAGCTTGGCAGAGTGGCCAAACCAACCAATCATAACAACAGAATTCTAAGCACCTGAGAGTGAGCCTCCCATAACATTGCATTGTGCCACACCCAACAGAAATAACCCAGGTGGATAACATTTACAATCAGGAGCCCCTCAGTTGCTCATAGCAAATCCTACCTTGGAGTTCACAAAGACTTATGGATAGAAATGCCACACTAAGTAATTTACTACACTGCACCTTCATAGTCACAAAATGACTGCACTTGCTCCAAGCATCATGCTTACACACACCCATATCCAAAAATGGGTGGAAACATGGGTCTGATGCTCAGGAAACATTTGTAGGAACCCGCAGGCTTAACACCGGGATGCACACACCCTGGAGAAGGCAGCCTGGTGCCAGTTCTGGCCTGAGAAGACCGTGGGAGCCAGTCAGGGATGGGAAAGAGGACTAAGGCTACTCCACGTGCAGGGCACCCACTGGACAAGGCCGTGGAGACAGAACCCCGAGGAGCGCCTCTCCTGATTCTGCCCTTCCCCCTTCTCTCTCTCCAGGGAGCGCATCCTCTCGGGCAAGCTGGTGCGCAGAGCTGAGAAGCGGCTGAAAGAGGTGGTGCTCCAGGTGGAGGAGGAGCGGAGGGTGGCTGACCAGCTCCGGGACCAGGTGAGCAGCTAGGAGCTGTGGGGAAGGGGCCCCCTGACCGAGAAACAGCATGATGACCTCTGTCTGGAGGTAATGAGCTCCCCATCCCAAGAGGCAACAGACAGATGCTGCACTGGAGCTAAGTGCAAATATTATCGTAGGACTTGGAGCATCTTAGCAGGTGACAAATGACTTTCCGATTTTGGAATCTAGAAAGGGCCCTGGTTTAAAGCTGAGGTAGCCAGCCTGAGAGAAGACGAGAAGCTGGACCAGGGCTCAAGTCACAACATGACGTATTGAGAGCTTGCTATGTGCCGGGGACTCTGCTACAGACATAATGTGCTGTGCATTTAATCCAGTCCTATAATAACTATGTAGGGTAGATACTTTTATTTACCCTCTTACTAAGGTGAGAAAACTGAGGCTTAGAGAGGTGAAATGTTATTGTTGTTGTTAGGTGCTGTGGAGTCGGACCCGACTCATAACAACCCCTCCTTGGGTTTCCAAGGCAGTATCACTACGGAAGTAGATTGCCCAACCTTCCTTCTGAGGAGTGGCTGCTGGGTTTGAACCGCCAGCCTTCTGGTTAGCAGTCACGTGCCTTAGGCACTGCGCCACCGGAGCTCCTACCTTCACAGAAGCAAAGCCCAAACCAAACCCAGTGCCTGGAGGGAATTCTGACCCACAGCGCCCCCAGAGGACAGAGTGGAACTGCACCACAGGGTCTCCAAGGCTGTCAGTTTTTATGGGAGCAAAGCTCAAACCACACCCACTGGAAGCAAAGCCCAAACCAAAGTCACTGCCATTGACTTGACTTCACTCATAGCAACCCCTCCTTGGGTTTCCAAGGCAGTATCACTATGGAAGTAGATTGCCTAACCTTCCTTCTGAGGAGTGGCTGGTGGGTTTGAACCGCCAGCCTTCTAGTGAGCAGTCAAGTGCCTTAGACACTATGCTACCAGAGCTCCTAAGAGGTGAAATAACCACCTCAAAATTATTTAGCTCGCAAGAAGTGGAGCCAGGGTTCCAATTCCAGCACCATGGCTCTAGAGTGTGTGCTCTTCATTATTTATTGAACAGTTACTGTATCTCCAGCACTGTGGTAACTGCACTGCTAACTGCTTTTTTTGAAAATACGTGCGTGCATTATCTGGGTCGTTTCTCTCACCAGCACCATTTCACAGGTGAGAAAGTATAAGTTAGTAGATAACACAGCCTCGATAGGATCCCAAGTCTGTCTGAGTCTAGCCAGCGAACCTGTGCCCTTAAAAGCTCAGCTATGTTTTATGCCCCCTTCAAACCACACTGTGTGCCAGGAGTATCCTGGGATTGGGGAAACAGCTGTGAATGGAACAGAAGAGGCCCCTGTCCTAATGGAGCTTAAGTTTTCAGCATAGAAAAGGACAAAATGAACCCATTTTCCAAAAAATATGTAATTATGGATTGTGAAAAGGATTGTAAAGAAAATAAAAAAAAACTAAAGGGAGAATGAGACGCAGAGGATTAAGGGACTCTCTTTAGATTGGGGGGGTCAGGAAGACCTGTCTGTGAAGATGACATTTGAGCTGATACCTGAAGGGTGACAAAAAGCCAAGTGAGGGAACACGTGCAAAGGTCCTGGGGTTTGGAAAAAAGCTTGGTGAGTTTGGAGCAAAGAGCAGACTGAAGAGAATGATGTAGGGTACTGAGTGATAAGAAACGAGGTCAGAAGCCAGATCACATGTATCCCCTTCCCTGGAGAGAGAGAGATGGTACACTCTGAGGACAGGCTTGGGGAAGTGGTTCAGGTCAGTGGGTTTATGAAGAGAAGAGAAATGGTCAGGAGTTGAGACCTTGCAGGGTGTGGGACCTTCCTGTGGAGCCACGGGAGGGCTGTGAGTGTGTGTGGGGGGGGTAGAGTCAGCTCTGGGTGTAGAGAGACCCTCAGGGACCATGTGGGGGTTGGTCTGGGGAGAGTCTTCTCCACGGCCCCACACAAGGGATGGAGTCAGGAACAGCCAAAGACGGGTAGGGTTGATGAAGTCACATCCTTTTATACAGTTGTATCTTTCCAGTGTCCAAGGTCTGAGCAGAGGGCAGAGGGCAGGACAGGGCCCGGGCCTGGGCGGGACAGGGCGGGGTCTGCCTTGGGCTCCCTGACTGCACCTCTCACCTCCTCCCAAGCTGGAGAAGGGGAGCCTCCGGGTGAAGCAGCTGAAGCGGCAGCTGGAGGAAGCTGAGGAGGAGGCCTCGCGGGCGCAGGCCGGCCGCCGGAGGCTGCAGCGGGAGCTGGAGGACGTGACCGAGTCGGCCGAGTCCATGAACCGTGAGGTCACCACACTCAGGAACCGGCTGCGGTACGGCTGCCCTAACCCGCCCCACGAGCCGGCGGCTCGTAGACCCAGGGACGCAGGAGGCCGAGGGCCCGCAGGGGTGGCCGGTGGGGAGTGGGGGTCCTGGGGGTAGAGGGCAGGAGATGGCCGGGGGAGAACCAGAGCGAGCTAAGTTACCTGCTTCTTTCTTCCCGGCCCCATTTCTCCTCCTCTCCGCTCTGTACCCCCTCTCGCCCTTGGTGCCTCTGTCTGTCCGTCCGTCCCTTCATCTGTCTCCATCTGTCTGCCCCCTCTCTGCTCCTGCATATCTCCCCCCTTTCTCTCAATGTGATTTGGGTGAAAGTTTACAGAACAAATTCACTTTCCATACAGCAGCTCACATACACTTTGTCTCGTGACATTGACTGCCCTTTCCCACAGTGCAACAGCTCCCCTCCCACTTCCTCCCCATAGTTACCTCTTCCTGTGCCCTTCCCTCCCATGCACTCCCAGCCCGCGAGCTGTCTCCCTGTGTAAAAACTGCCCTTCTGTTCTCCCACGATTGATCTCTCCATGGAGTGTACCCACCTGATGTAAATGTTCACCCCACAAGCCTGTCTGTTGTTTGGCTGGAAGCCACAGGAGTGAGTTCAGTTGCAGACCTGAAAGGTAACTAAGGCTGTAGTCTCAGGGGTCTCACCAGGCTCTTTGAGACCAGCAAGCCTGGTCTCTTTCCCATTTTTATGTCATCCCATCTTCCTCTATCCCTCTTTATCTCCGCCCTTCTGTCCTTAAGTCCGTCTGTCCTTACATTTCTTTCTCTCTTCCCATCTCCCTCTGCTCCCATCCCTCTTACTCCATCTAACCTCCCCATCCTTCTATATCTCTGTCCCTCCATCTCTCTCTGTCCCCATCTCTCTGTTCCTCTGTCCCCCATCTCTGTCCCCCATCCTTATAACTCTGTCCCCCCCTTTTTCTCCACCCCCATCTCTCTGTCCCTCCTTCTCCGTCCCTCCGTCTCGGTGTCTCCCCCCTCTCTCCCTTCCCCTTTGCCTCTGTCCCCACCACACATCCCCGTCACTCACTCTTGTTTTCTCTGGGTCCCACGTTTAATTTCTGTCCCTTGGTCTCTCCTCCTCCGCACAGACGTGGCCCCCTCACCTTCACCACCCGCACCGTGCGCCAGGTCTTCCGCCTGGAGGAGGGCGTGGCATCGGATGAAGAAGCTGAGGAGGGCGGGGCTCCAGCCCCAGAGCCTGACGGGCCTGTTCAGGCTCCGCCCCAGGGACCCTGCTAACTGGGACGGCCCAGGCCCGGGCCCCCCTCCCTCCCGGCTCTGCAGGTGCCTGTCCCCGAACCCAGCCCTCTGGCTTCTTGCACTTTGGAGTTGGTGCCACTCTGGCGCCGTAACACTTACCGCCCCCACCCTGGGCCCCTGGACACCGCCACCAACCAACCCTTAAACCCGGAGGAGTGGGGCAGGGCTAGGAGGTGAGGACTGGGGCTCTGTGCTGCGTGGAAAAGCGGATGGAGTTGGCGTGGACGACTCCGTCCTTCCTGCAGTTGTTCCTGATGGATGTCCGGGAGGGCTCCACGAGCTCCCCGCCCCCTTCAGCCAGAGCCACACAGTCCTGTTCCCGGCCTCCACATCCCTCTGCGTCTGTCTGTCTGTCTGTCTGTCTCATGGCACCATGACTAAGCACTCGGCTGCTGACCAAAACATCGTCGGTTAGAACCCACGTGTGGCTCCACAGGGTAAAAAGTCGCGACCAACTGCTCCCGTAGAGATTTACAGCCTAGAAAACCTCATGGGCAGTTCAGCTGCCCTGTAGGGGCGCTGTGAGTCGGAATCAACACGGCACCAAACGACATCCATCCGTTTGTCTGGTGGCACAGTGGTTAAGCACGGCTAAGGGACAGATTGACAGGTCAGACCTACCAAGCAGCTCCACAGGAGAAAGAAGTGGCTGGCTGCTTCCGTTTGATGTTACAGCCCAGGAGACCCTGGGGGGCAGTTCCACTGAGTCATCTCGGCTGCAACTCAGAATCAACCTAACAGCCTCTCTCCCCCCCCCCCCTTATCGGAGGAGCTCTGGTGGTGCAGTGGTTACAGCACGTGGCTGCTAACCAGAAGGTGGTCAGTTCGAACCCACCCATCACTGTGGGAGAAGGATGAGGCACTTGGCTTTCATAAAGATTGACAGCCTTGGAGAGCCTGTGGGGCAGTTCCACTCTGTCCTCTAGGGGCGCTGTG